GTGAGGGTGGAGGAGGCAAGCTTCTGGCGCTTGCTTCCTCCTGCTAGATGCTAATTCAGAAGTCTCTGAGCAAGTGAGCTTACAGGGGGAGCTCAAGTGCTTGTTAAGCAGCTGTGTGGGTAATTGATTGACTCAACAGATATGTCACCATCTGTATGCCAGGCAGGTGTTACGGGCTGGGGATACAATGTACAGATGACAAGCATCCCTGTCCTTCCCAAGCATTTAACATAAAGGAGAGAGGGTGGGAAGGGCAGTGGACAGCAGTGCAAGGATAAATGAATTACAGGGAGAGTGGTGGGCTGGTGAAGGCTTGCTTAATAACTGGCTCTGAGTGGTGAGAGAAAGGCCCAATTTGTAACTTTTGCTGATTTGGGAGGTGAACATACTCTCCTCCTGGTTGATTTCAAGCTGTATCTATGACTTCACTGAACTCTGAGCTGAGTAGTGAAGGGCACAACAGCTCTTGGGATGGGATGAACCTGCTCCAGTACCTACTGTTTGCTAGTACCAAGAAAGGATATCTCATCCAGTCTCTGGGCTCACTCTTGCTGAGAAGGGGGAAATGAACTTAGGTGGCTTGGGCATTAAGTTTTTCTTTGAGTTTAGAAGAAATCAACTGTTAACAGGTAGCAAATGCGTTTGGGTGATAGCTCTAATACAAGATACTTTGTAAGTATTTTTACTATGGTATGTACTAAATGGAGCTGCAAATTACTATCATACATAGAACAGATGTCAGATCTCCTCCTCCTGTATATAACTGTCCATTAGGAGCCCCCTGGACACTGCCTCTACATTGCTCCCTCCCCTGTACACCAGCCCATTAATCCTCATCATCCATTCACTCCAAACCCACTGCCAGAGCTAGGCACTGGTCCCATCCTCATGGAGCAGTCAGTCCACTGAACCCCCCGGCGATTCTTTCAAAGCAATTTTGCTGCATTGTTTTGCTTACTCGGTTCACACCTGTGTTCTCAAATTGACTTTCCCTCTGGGAATATTTCTCCTAGAAGGCTGCCAAAAACCCTTTCCACTGGCTTTTTTTTTGTGTGTGTGTGTGTGTGTGTGACATTTCTCCTTCACCACAGTATTGCATGTGCCCCTTTCTGTCCTGATCTGGGCTCTCCTTTTTGTATGATTGATAAGTTATGCTGTGTAGATATTCCTCAAACCACCTCCACAAGCAAGGTGGTGATGTATGCTTTCCTGCTGTACAGTCTATCATTTTGGCCATCCTATTGCTCCATCAGACATTTTTTCAGATGCCTGAGTCCTAGCAATTGTGCATGGTGCAAGGGAGCTTCTGTTTACAATTGAAACGTGTTTTTTTGCTTGACATAATCATTTTCTATAATGATTCTATATTTTACATTACTGTGTCCAGAGCATCTTCCATGTTTAAATTTTTTTCAAAGATTTATTTATTTATATTGGAAAGGCAGATATACAAAGAGAAGGAGATACAGAGAGCAAGATCTTCCATCTGCTGGTTCATTTCCCCAAGTGGCTGCAACAGCCAGAGCTGAGCCAATCCAAAGCCAGGAGTCTGGAGCCTCCTCCTGGTCTCCCACATGGGTACTGGGTCCCAAGGCTTTGGGCTGTCCTCAACTGCTTTTCCAGACCACAAGGAGGGAGCTGAATGGGAAGTGGAGCATCCTGCACTAGAACTGGAACCCATATGGGATCCTGGCAGATGCTAGGAGAGGATTTTAGTCACTAGGCTACTGTGCCGGTCCCCCATGTTTAAATTTCTTATAAGTATTTATTGTACTTTTCCTGACTATAAAAAGTAGCTGTACAACATTTAGAAAAGTATAAGGGAAATAATCCTAATTATGCAATCTTACAAATCAAGGCTAGCCACTTCTGGGGATATATCTTTTAACTTACTTCCTATGTAGAGTTGCAATTTGGACTTTATTCTCATTTTTTCACTTACTATAGTATGAAACTCTCATTTGGGGTTTTTTTTCTGTATTAAAAATGATGACAGAAGGACTGGCATTTACCTGAGCAGTGATTGCTGGGACTTGTGGCTTCTGCACTAGTCCCTGGAACCCATGCCCACTTCTGGCTCCTGACTTCAGCTGTCTGCTGCTGTAGGCTCTAGGGCGGGGGGTATTAGCTAAGGTCACTGAATTGCTACTGCCCATGTGGGATACCTTAATTTTATTCCTAGCTCCTGGCTTTCCAACCCAGTCCCGGGATGCTACTGTGGACATCTGAGGAGTGAGCCAGTCGATAGGAGCTGTTTGTCTCTACAAAAAATAAGTGACTTTTATAAACGATGACTTGGCAGTCCACTTTCAGACTGGGTTGCACTCTGATGAGCTGGTGTCCTTATGCTGGTGGAAGCCTCTTGGTAAGCCCATGTGTGCTTCCTTCATCATAAGATACAAGAAGGCAGGAATTGAATGTTGTCCACCGTGGGCAGCTCTCACAACAAAAACGTATAAGGAATATGGTTACATATCTACTGTGATCCTCTAAGTACCATTGAAAACAAAAGGCAGCAGCTGTCTGCCTACCTCAGGTAGCAGGCTGGGAGGAAGGGAACTTGACACTGTGGGGAGGATGGGGAAGAATCCTTCCTTGGTTGCACTTGGTGCACCACCCTGAAAAGGAATGGAGGGATGGAGGTCAGTGTCAAGTCTAGGAATGGCTAGGGGCATTCAAGATCACACTGCGATGATTCTAACCTCTTTTTTCACAGATGAGGAAATTGAAATCAAGGATGGTTACCAGCTGAGACCAATACTCAGGTCTCAACTTCCTTCCTGTCTTACACTCTTTTCACCGCAACCTGCTAGACTAATGCCCCACACGCAGTCACAGCCTATGTTGACCTACTCACTGCTACAGTGCATGTACTTTGGCGTGTGAATCCAATGGTCAGGTCCAAGGTAAATGTCGGAGGAAAGCTCCCGCCCACACAGGCGGCTTGCACAGGAATGCTCAGGGCAGCGTGACTAAAGCATCCTTCCACAGCTGCATTGGCAGTGTGATGTATTCTCACCACGAACTCCTCTTCCTCAGCAATAAACAGGAACTAGTGATCAATGCAGCAGCGTGCAGGAATCTCTGTCCCGAGAGAAGCCAGCAGGAGTACAACCCTTCCACTTGCCTACATTTCTACAAAGTGCCAGTTACTCTCTAGCCACAGCAAACAGGACTGCAGTTACCAGGGAATGGAGGAAGAGCTTACAAGGAACCTTTCACAAGAATCAACCTTGGAGGGTAACAATGTTTTTTTACCACCTGACCCGTAGGGGGTGGTTTCAGGTATGCACACACAACTTACCAAATCAGACACTTTAAACACCATGCCCTTTATTGTATGTCAATTATACTTCCATGAAGCTGAGAGCCCCCTGTGAAGTTTGAAATAGCAACAAAGTGACTAAAAACCCACTGGAGAATCTGAAGCGAGAGAAGACAGTTATTTCTGAAGTAGAGGACCAAGGCTCTTTCCTAGTGTTACAGTTTATCTGAACAAAACATTAACTACGAGAAATGCCAAGTCATAAAAATAAAATAGAAATGACATTTTTGTCCCTCTAGTAATCAAGTCATTTCCTCATGCCTGTACAGTTTGCTCTGCATCATAATCTTCATGTGTTCAATTCAGTTTGGTTTTTTTTCAAGGAGAGAAATAACCTTGCTGTATTTTTTTTTCTGAACTCCTAAGACTGCTTTTTCCTGTAGGAATGATATCCAATCCCTGTGTGTGTGTATTGTGGGTGGGTATGGAGAAAACTACAGTCTATAGATTTCTGAAAATGCTGTAATTTGTTTTGGGATTTTGTACAGCACTCAGCAGGGGCACTGGAAACACGCTGGAAATTTCTAGAAATCATACCTTCTTGGAACAAGACGAGAGCACTGTATAGTTTCCGTAAATACGTGAATTTAGTAATCAAAATTTTCCGTTGAGATTTTTCCACCTAACTGTTTTAAAACAAAGAACTACTATAGCACACATGTGATCTACAACACCGGTGGTAACTTGTCAATTCCTTTATTAAAGATTTTCTTTTTCAGAAAACATGAGAAAGTTTGCTTTCCCAGGCCCCTCGCCCTCCACGCCCCCTCCCCCCACCTTGGCTCCTTTATTTGGTAATTACTCCCAATTCTGCAGACGTGGAGGCGCACACAGGTTTTTCCGCGCCGTGCAGAGGGGCGAGAAAGCAGCAACTCGCAACTTTTCAGTTCCATTTTGAGAAACGATCACATCGAACTCCCGAGACGCGACAGCCCAGAGCGAGCGAGCGAGCAGAAGCGCTTCTCCCCGGCAGGGTATGGGTCTGGAGCCAGGCGCGCTGCCGCGGCGGAGCGGGCGGCGGGAGGCAGGTGGCAGCGGCGCGGCGAGGGCGCGAGCCGGGCGCGCCTCCCTCCGGCCGCCGCGAGGAGCCTGCCCCCCGCGCACGCGAGTCCCTCGACCCCGGACTCCCGCGCCGCGCAGCCATCCGCCGGGCGCCCGCGTCTCCTCCTCCTCCTCCCTCCTCACGCCCGCCCCCCAGCCCCTGGCAGGGCCCTCCCCCATGCCCGCTCGGGCGGCCGCCGCCGCCGCCGCCGCCGCTACCGGAGGCGCAGGAGCCTCGCGATAGTGTTTGCACAGGCGGCGCGTGACGCCGCCGCCGCCTGTAACTGATGCAGAGGTTACCCCGCCGCCTCAGCCGCCACCCACCGCCCGCAGCCGCTGCCGCCGCCGCCGCCGGCCGGGCGACGCCGGGGGCCGACGCACTGCAGAGGTGCCGGCAGGTTCCGCCCGCGGAAGTCTTCTCGGCCGGCGCAGCCCGCGCTCCGCCCGCGCTCCGACCCCGGCCCCGGCGGGCGCCCCCTCGACGCCTCCGCCGCTGCGCTCCCTCCCTCCGCCTCCTCTCCGGCGCGCCCGCCCGCTCCCTCGCTTCTCCCCCTTTCCCTCCTCCCCGTCCCCTCTCCTTCCCTCACCTCTTCCCTCCCCACCTCCCCTGCTCTCGGTTTCCTCCCCCATCCCCTTGACTCTCCCCCTCCCTGCCCTCGCGCTCTTGTCGCTCGCTCGCCCTCAGCCGCGGCCCCCGCCATGACGGAGGCGGGTGCCGGTGCCGTTGCCGCCGCTGCCGTCGCAGGGGGGGAGTCGGGTTCCCAGAAAGTAGCTTGATGAGTGTCCAAAGTAGCAGTGGAAGTTTGGAGGGGCCGCCATCTTGGTCCCAGCTCTCCACGTCTCCAACCCCGGGCTCGGCGGCGGCGGCCAGGTCCCTGCTGAATCACACGCCGCCATCCGGGAGGCCCAGGGAAGGTAAGCGCCACCGCGCCCCGCGCCCGCTCGCGGGGCCTCTGCGCCCGCGCCGCGGCCCCCCGCCCGACCCCGAGGTGGGGGATGGTGGCGGCGGAGGTGGACGCGAGGCCGCCGGGCCAAGGGGAGGTGGGAGCGCGCTGGCTGTGGGTGGCGGCTCGCGGGTGGCGGAGGGGACGGCTGAGGAAAGGGCGGGGGGGTGCGCGCTGGCGGGGACGGGGCGAGGCGCACAGACTCGCCTGGGGTTCCTCGGAGCCGGTCCTGCCCGAGTGGGAAGCCTGCTGCCCCGGGCAGCAAGCCCCATCCTGCTCCATTCTCTAGGACACCTCGGCACTCTCAACCTCCTTGGCCTCCGAGTCCCGGTGGGTTTTCCTTCTCTCTGGAGCCCCCTCCCCTTCTCCGGCGCACTCCTCCCATAGAGGCGGTCCCCGCTCCCGCGAGCTCCGCTACCCGGCGGCACCTGGAGGATGCCCCCCTTCGCTTGCAGGGGTCCCTGCCCTTTGCGGAGAGCCGCTGAGACCATCTAGCAGACTCTATGATCGCCTGCGTGATACCTTCCTCCTCTTCCCCCCCCCCCCAGCAATTCAAACGACAGCCTGACTCGTGGGCAGGCTTTTTTTTTTTTTTTTTCAAACCACCCCTCCAGATGGTTGCAACTTTCTCCTTCGCCATCCCCTCCTGCGTGCTTGGTGCGTTGTCTGATCGGGTGCGAGGAGGCTACTGTTCTCTTGACAGGGTTGTGGGTTTTGTGGGAAATATCTGCGTAAAGGTTACTGCAGACACACGCACCAGATCGGTTACAATTGTTTTCTCCAAGTTTGCTGGCTTCTTGCATGCAAGTGTGCTGCCGCCAGATGTAGCAGTTACACAGCTAGTAAGGCACTGGAGTACTTTCGACTAAAATTTCAACTTGCTGTATTTAACTTTGAGGCATACGACATCAAATGAAATTTGGAAGAACATGCCTTTTTTTTTTTTAATGGGGGGAAGGAGAAGTGCGCATGGAATCTTTTTAAAACGCTCTTTTGTCTGGGAAATGCTTGGCGGTGTTCATCAGCCATGGGTAAATGGGTTGTTCGCTCCCAGTTGTTTCATACAAGGAGATTGTAGGCACATTAAAAAAAAAAAGAAAGGTCTGTAAGTCTAAATAGTCTGGTGAATCTTAAAGAAATAAAGAGTGATTATGAGGACTCGGTGGGATTAGTTTGCTTTGAAAATATCCATTGATATTTACTATTCAGAGTCTTGACAATTGTTAATCAAGTGTTTTGTGCCCCGAATCCAGTGGTTCAGGCATAGCATTCTTTGTCATTTTGTTCTTGTGAGCATGTGTGAAAGTGACAATAGGCTCAAAGATTGGCATGAATATGCTCCAGAAAATTCATGGAAAGAGCTTGCTTTATGGCATCCATTAAACGTACCGAATACCCTGACAGACATTTCCTGCTTTCATCTCATCCCAGCCCTGAGTTTCCATTATTAGAAGATGAAAGTTTATTTATTGAATGATTCAGATTTAATCCAGCACATGCTGCTGCTTCTTTGCACTTGAAAAATTTGTAGATGGAGGTTTAAAAAGAAATGTATTTTGTAAATAGGACAGTTGTTAATTCATGCATGCTCTTACTTTTGTCTGTAGTTAGCTTAATTTGCTTAATGATAATAAGGTGAGTGGAGACTTTGGCCGTGCCTTTTCATCAGTCAGTCAGTGATTTCTCCTGTGCTTCTTTGACTGAAGCCAGCCCCCATTCTAGAGACCAAGCACCCAGGTTGAATTTGTTGACATCTATTGCAGGGGAGTGAGGGGGCTGCCGGTGCCAGGGGGCGGGGGGGAGGGGGCTCTTCAAAAAGTTCATGGAAAGTGCGGTTTATGAAAAAAAACCTGCAGAAATTTCATAATTTTTTTTTTACATCAAAATGAACTTTTAGCTTCCTTTTCCATGAATTTTTTTCGGTGCTTTGTGGACTGAGAATTAGGGAACCTTTGGAGTATTTCTGAGGTAAAATTGAACTGTAGTTAAGCGTTATTTGTGTGTCCCTATGCTGGACAGTTTTGAGGGGTTAGAATAATTTCTTGTGAGCTTTAAGAGTTATAGCTAGAATTTTCCCCAGCAGTGTAGATTAAGGTAGATTTGTGTGTCATCTAAAAGAGTGAGTTTGTGTTAATATGGGAAAGAATAGAACACGCTGTTGTGCAAGTTACACTTTACACCAAGTACCTATGTGGGGCCACAGTGGGATATTTTATTTTGACCAACTAACGTGTAAGTTGAAACTGTTAATCCTCTAGGGTTGTCCATTCATCAAAGTGTGGAGCTGTATGCTTAGGTTTCTCTACTGCAAACAAGAATTGTATACATGAATCTTCAGGTATCAAAATGGAGATATTTTCTACTGAGGGAAATTCCAGCTTGTATGTCAGCTTGTGTGTAGCACCTTCTACAGTGTACTTGATATAGTGTACATTCTGGAGATTGAGAAAGCTTTTGACCTCTGGTGACTGCTGGCCATTGTCTGTTATTGGAACTTGGATGTACTGAAAATTATCGAGAGCCATCTTTATTTTTTTGAAAAATGGAACCAATGTTTCATACAATATGATAGAAGCATTTCATGTAATTTCATATAATAAAAACATTTAAATTACAAACTTAGACCATTTCCATCTGCTGACCATGACCAGATGACCTTAATGCCTAAGCTGGCCAGAGCTGAAGCTGGGAGCCAGTGAGAACTCTAGTCAGATGCATTATGTGGGTGTCGGGAACCCAGGTTGTCAATCTAGGGTATGCAATGGCATGAAGTTGGGAATCCAGAACGAGAGTGGAGAAGCAAATCCAGGCATTCTGCTCTGGGCCTTGGGCATCCTAACCACTGCATTAAATGCCTGTCCCCCGCCCCCCCCCCCGCAAAACTTTTATTTGTATATATTTTAAGGGCGTACTTGTGTATTTGCAAAGTGGGGAAAAAGAGAGATCTTCCATCTGTTAGTTCACTCGCTCAGTGGCTGCTCTAGGTAGGTAGGTGTGAGCCAGGCCAGATCCCGCAGCCAGAAACTCCATCAGGATCTCCCACGGTTGCTGCCTTCCCAGGCAGGTTAGCAGAGAGCTGGATAGGAAGCAGAGTGGCAAGGACTCACTTTCAGGTACGGGGTGTTGGTGCTGCAAGTCATGGCTTAATGTGCTGCTCCACGCAGGTGCCCTGAATTTAACTTTATGAAAAAGTGTGTCTTTTATAAAGTCACTAGCTTATTTTTGACATACTTGAAACAGTCTAAGACTATTGTCTGATTGTCTTTATTTGCTGTGTTTGGCTTTCTTCTTTCTTACCCTGTTATGATTATCATGTTTATATTATATATATATATACTTATGATGTATATATTTAATGCTGTATTAAATATGTTGCAGTCATTAAGTATTGCAAGATTTAGAAATCTGATGTGTTTTAGAAGTATATGTAATATATGCTTTCATTTCTCTGGGTTCCCAAAATTTTTTTCTTGGAAGTGCTCTTAGAGATGCTAAACAGTATAGCATTACTTTCTGATAGGTCTTTTACACTTGTAATCAACTTCCTGTTTTTGTCTTCAACCCTATGTATGGTTAGGGTATGGGAGTTGAGGAATTCAGTTTTCAAATGAAGGTCAGTTTTACTTTGTTGTCCTTTAGAAAACCAATTTTGGCTAGATAAGCAAACTTCTTTTTTGCTTATCAGTACATGGGACTTTTGAAAGAGTTTCTAAGAATCAAATGATTGATTCTGCAAAATGCTTGCATTTCTTTCTCATGTTACACTTTGTCAGTTATGAATAGTATGCTCTTTTTGTAAATATTATAAGTAGTTTGCTAAAAAAAAATATGACATCAGTCGTAAAACGTTGCTCTGTTTCCATATTTAAATGCTGCATTCCATAGAAGAATAAAAGTAGGGCCCAGAATAATGGTTCAGTGGATAAATCCTCACCTTGCATGTGCCAGTATCCCCTTTGGGTACCAGTTCCTGTCCCCACTGCTCCACTTTCCATCGAGCTCTTTGCTTGTGGCCTGGGAACGCAGTGGAGGATGGCCCAAAGCCTTGGGACTGAATGTCCTCGTGGGAGACCTGGGAGAAGCTCCTGGCTTCAGATTAGCTCAGCTCTGGTCATTGTGGCCACTTGGGGAGTGAACTAGTGGACGGAAGCTCTTTCTCTCCTTCTTTTCAGTAAATCTGCCTTTTGAATAAAAATGTTTTTAAAAATCACTATTTTATTTTGATCATCTTTACATAGTTGATTATGGCACAAAGGGTCAAGGGCTACAGGAAAGTGGATAAGATCATTGTTTCTGCATTTTTTTTTCTCTGTATCTGGGGAAAGAGGGGAGGTAAAAGAAGCCCCACCAAGCCTCCCACCCACCCCAGGTTAAGTGCTCCGAGGGTCCTGCTCAAGTGGTTTTGATAGTTCCAACAGTTCTGAATTGCTGCCAGTCTTGCCATTCCAAGCACAATGAAATCTCTCCAGAATCCACTGGCTGACATAGTCCACCTTGGAGTCTCCGTTTGCCCAGATTTTTACTTCCAACACATGGCTGGGGTGGTTGATTGATGTGCTCTGTCCTCCGTCCTCTGTTGTGGTACCAGGTGTCCTCTGCAGGTTCTGATGGACTATGCCTGGATATGCTGTCCACTGCTCCATCTGACCACTGAGGAGGTTCAGCTTTGACTTGCACTCCGTGGTCAGACCATGGCACCTGCGCTTCTGTTCATTGTTGAGGTTCTGAGATAGGCAGTTCAGTTGGAGGGATCACCAAAGAAGCTTCGTCTGAGGTGATCCCAGATCTGATTCTTGGAAAAAAAAAAAAAATAAGAATGAAAGTATTTGGACAAGATTGAGAATCTGTAGGGAGGTGCTGGAAATAAAGATACGTCAGATGACCCAGTAGGCATCTGATTTCTTTTTTCTTTTGAACGTTTATTTTTATTGAAAAGTCAGATATACAGAGAGGAGGAGAGACAGAAAGAAA